ATGCCATCAGATAGGTGCCTAGATGGTATTATGGAACACCCCATTTCGATAGAGCCTGTTGCAACTTGTAGTAATTATAGTGAAAGTGGTTGCTAGTGCAGAATTGAAAAATAGTGGATAAGGATACCTTATATAAAGCCACCGTAGATGAAGCATGACCTTTTAATACATCACCGACAATGAGTATTCCATTTCCATTGATAAACAGCTGTGGGGCCTATGGAGAAATCTTAGAAGTTAAACCCTTATGTCGGGCAAAGGACTGCATAACTTCCAAGCATAAAGACTGAATTTCCAAACATCTGGGTGGAAAATGTCTGAAAGAGGTTGTCTCAACATAGACTGCCAATGTGGAAGAGGTAGAAATGGACATTCCTGCAGATACCAAAGAAGCAGAAACCACATTTGAGCTGGCCAATACGGTGCAACCAAGAAAACTTGACAGGGAGTGGAACGAACCACAGTCAGAACCTGGGGCAATAGTCGAATCGGGGGAAAGGCATACAGATGTAAACCTGTCCAATCTTGACTGAACCCATCTAATGCCAACACTTGAGGATAAGGTATTAGAGACCAAACCAACTATAGTTGAGAATTCCAATGAGTCGCAAAGGCATCAATCGTTGGAGACCTGAACTGAGAGCAAATCCACTGAAATCATTGTGATGTAGCATCCATTCCATCAAAAGAATCTGGTTGTGTCGTGACAAGTGATCTGCAATTAAATTCATCACTCCTGGAACATGACATGTAAAAAGGCTGAAATGATGGGAATGAGCCCAGCAGAGAAGATCCAAGGTACAAAAACAAAGGTCTCAAGAAGTGTGCCTCCTTGACGAGAAATATGAGATACCACTGTGAAATTGTTGGAATGTATCATGGCAATTTTTTTCTTTAAGAGAGACAGACCTTGAACCCTTGCCCAGTGTACTTCAAGGAGTTTGAGAACATTTATATGGAAGGTAGACTCATCTTCTGTCCAAATACCCTGGAACTCCTGACCTTGAAGATAAGCTCCTCATCTGTGAAGAGACAAGTCTGTGAACAGATGGATCTGTGAACGAGGAGGTAGAATGGGTACCCCAATAGTAGTGTTGTTCCAATCCAACCACCATTCACAATTGATGATGTTGCTCCTGAGTAATGAAATAGGATGATCCAAAGGATCGGAATGCATGATCCATTGGTCGTGCAGTGACCATTGACGGGAGCTTATATGTGCTCATCCCAAAGGAATGAGAGGATCGAGGGATGCCCACATCCCCAAAAGAGAGAGAACCATCAGCACAGTAGGAAAAGGAGACATAAGTAAAAGTCTGACAGCTCTTTCCTTGGCTTGAAGCCTGATATGGGTTGGTTGAGCACGACTTAAGTGAGTATTGGAAAACACACCCAGATGGACGAGATATTGCATATGTGACAGAATAGATTTCTCCATTTTGATAAAGAAGCCCACTTTTGTAGAGAATCTGAGAGAGTTGTTTTGCTAATTTACAGAATGGTGCCAGTCGTCCATATAATGATGTGTGCACAAGCTCAAGGAATGCAGATAATGAGAAAAAGCACGAACGACTCTGCAGAAGACACAAGGTAGAGCCCTGAACTGCAGCACCTGACCCTTGTGCACAAATCTGAGAAACATCTGGGAAGATTCCACAATGGGAATGTGGAGATAAGTGTTAGTAACATCCAGAGCCCTGGTGCAAAGTGCCATCGTAAGTTGAGAAAAAATTCTATAGTAAAGCGAGGATGATCTAAAAATTGGTTGAGTCAAGTCAGATCGATGATTGGATGCCAATCTCCTGTCTTCTTGGGTACAACAGATAAATGGGAATAAAATTCCATAAGAAAAGGATTGACCCTCTCTACTGCTCTTTTGACTAACAACTCTCTTATGGCCTGGGAAGGAAGCTCCACTTGCTGTGGATCTGTTGGAGGTGCAAAAGCCACAGGTTGTGCAGATAATGCTGGAGGTGAGGTAAATTGAATGACCAACCCTGAAGCTAGAACATGAAGTACCCATGGATCCCTGGTGAAAGAATTCCAGATGTCCAGTAAATGATCTAATTGTACTCCCACTGCTCCCCTACCCATGGAATAGTCACTGGCGCTGTTATCAATGGTCCGTTCAAGCCAAAGATCCTCGACCTGGGAACTGAAGGAGGGGGTCGGGAAACACTAAGAGCCGACACTCCCAAATCAGTGTCAGAAAGACAAGAAGCCAATGATTATAAAAAAGAATGTAAATGAGCTGAATCAATTCGTGATTCTAACATCTCTGGAACTCCAGCAAACAACATGGGATGGAGAAAAGGAGCTTCCCATAACTCCGGTAAATGAATGCTTTCTATCAAAGCTTCTCTACCCAATACATCCAAACAACAAACCATCCAGGAAACCAGAGAAAGAACTGAAAAAGACAATCTGACTGAGGTAGACATCAGTTGGGTCGAAGATAAATACCGCAGGACAATCGTGAAAGTAAGACGAATCTGAGAAAACTGTGATCTGTTTAAAGGATCCAATCTAAACCCCCACAGGTCCAAAAGGGGGTTCATCTGTTGAGAATCTAAATATACCTTCTCCTGGCAGTGATAAACCAAAGCATGCTGTTCCAATAAATGTGGGGGACAAGGCATAGCTATCCCGTCGTATAACTGAGCAGCAAATCTACCAGCATGAACAGCAATATCAGGAGAAAACCAAGCAATCTCTTGCTGTCCTTTCTGCCAACAAGGAAGGAGTACAGTCAAATGCAATAGGAAAGACCCCCCAAAACCTCACAAACCCGAGTAACCAACTGAAGAAAAGGGGCTAGAGGTGGCTAATCAAGATGATCCTCTGTTGAGGCTGACCTAGTAAAAGAAGGAGCCAAAAAGCAAGTCTAAATTCTTCCCAGCTAGTCCCAGGTTACTTGCAAAACCTGTCGAATCATATCACCGACAGCTTTGATTGAGAGTGACCCCTCCTCTGGCCATTGACAAACACCAGATAGCAGAGGTGGAAGAGTTCTGGTTGGCCTCCATAGTAGAAACATTAACTTGGGAATTCATACCCATCGGTACATTTTTTTTTAAAGTAATTTATAAATATAAACGAAGATATAACTGTAGTAATGCCAACCATATTCAAAGTCACAACGTATATTGTGAATGATCACAACACTCCTGTTTATAGAAAACCGTGCCAAATGTTTTGTCAAAAAAAAAGTGATTTTATTATCTGATTGAGGTGCTTATATACAGTACCACAGTAGAGGGTGCTTTGAAACTAGTGGAGAATTTTGCAAATTAGAATTTGCAAAAGGCATTCGAGTTGGGTATAAAAATAGCTTTGCACAAATATCCAAAACAAATAAACTAACTAACCTGAATTGCCTTGAAAGTCATATTGTTCAATTACAGTATATCACTCTTTTATAAATGTCTTCATTGTATTGCATAAGGATAGGAACAGTAATATTCCAATTAACACACTTACCTCCACTGACACTATAGCTATTTCTCAATCTCCAGGTTTTCCACTCTTAGCCCATATAAGCATTGAAAACGCTTGCTACAGTGGCAAGAGTTATTTACACTAGCCGACCCTTATTTTGAACTTATAGACTAGATAGAAGGCAGCTTTTCAACATCCCCCATCACCAACTTTTGTGCTACTTTAATTGAATTATAAAATTTGACCATCACTCTGATAATGTATCCACAGCTTTAAGGTGCTGAGCACAATTTTGTTGTAACAGGATGCAAAGAATTAGGCCACCACGGTCAATCCAAAATAAAAATAGAAGAAAAATAATTACCACATACATCCGATATAAACAAAGAAAAATGTTAATGCTTATTTTAAACTCTTTTTAATGATAAGGTCTTTCTTCACTTATACTCCAATACCTTTCCCACATTTTTTTTTCCAAAACAGGTATGTACACACTAATGCTCAATATATTTACCTCCTTATGCTACAGTCAGTTATAGGACCTCCACTAACACTGTATGTTCAACAATAAGGGTGATCAACACTTATTACTGTATTTAATTTTTGAGCATTTCTTCATTTATATTCCATATATGATAGCATATTTATCCATTTTTTCAATGATAAAGACATTTCCCAATTATATTTTATTCAGTTGTAAAAGTGTTTAAACAGATATACTTCATTCACTTAATTCCATGGTATTTTCTTCTCAAATACTACTGTTCAATGATACAGTATTTTCCCATTACTATTCCAGTCAATGATAAAAGTATTTCCCACTTTTACTTTCTTCATTGACACAAGTTCATTGTAATTTCTCAATAATAAACCATTCAATGATATAGTTACTTTTCCACTAATATTTTATTCAGTGATCTGGGTTCTTCCTCATATATATTCTGTTCAGTGGCAGGTATATTTTGCTATTTTCTCTCCATGCAGTGATAGATATAATCATGAGTTTTCCATCATGGAGGAGCATTGTGTCAGAAAACACAAATCTGACAATACAAAAACAATAAAATCTGAAATACAAAGTCTATCAAACTAACTTTTATAGCACATTCTAATTTCCTATTCTAACATTTCTGACAGAAAGAACTCTCAAAGAAAAGCATTTGGTAATTGCATTAACCCACAATCATCTTTTACAGTATTAGAAAATCCTGAATCTTGCCAGCATTTAGTACTAAAAAATAACCTGAGCAAAGCATAAATGTCACCATTCATTCTTTTAAGTCATTAGAGTCATCAACAAATTTTATTAATTCCTTGCACAAGAACTGTCAGTTGAATATTATACTAATGATCTGGTAGTTGGTTTGGAGGTTTTATAGTGCAAAGCCATAAAGGACTATTTATACCAAATAACTGGTTATGTTATTATTATTTTGTAAACAAGTAATAAAAACATTTCAAAATAAAAGGTAAGTGTAAAAATTATACAAAACAGTTATATGTCAATAGAATTAAAAATGGTCTTTAAAAAACTTAATACATAGTCATGCTAGGTCACTTACTTGAAAACTCAATAAAAGCTTGGCCTTTCATACGCCCTTTAAGAAGTCTATACTTTACTGGCTCGAAGCTGCTGAATAATGCAACCAACTCCTCAACATATACCTTTGGATGAAGATTCTTTATAAACAACACCTAAAAGAGCAAGTATAAAATCCAATAAACCTCAGAAATTATTATGCACGTTTTACAGTAGTGTATATCAAAATGCATAGTGATGTGGTAAGTAAATCATGAACTTTGTCATGGAGCAAAGAGTGTAGAATATTTCTATTAAGACTAACAAAAATACAGACACAATGTTTTTTCATGATTTAATACTGAGAAATGAAAGATATGATACACCCCTTAACAATAATGTTCAACACCATTAAGACTCACCAATAATAAAAAACAGTGCTTCTGTTTTGGTGGGTGCCATTGCACACCACAAGTTTGTAAATGTTATTTCTTGAGTGTTATTTAGAGCCTAAATAAATGACATAACATCTGTTATTTTTCCATGTCAAAGGAGAGATTCAAAAAGAATGAGAACAATACAATTTCATCACAGTTATTGAAAATAATCTTGTTTCACAGATTTTCATTTGATGGCAATCCTATAATTATAATTTACAGTATGTAAGTGACCCTGTTGTTAGGTATACAGACAATAGTTGGTTTGGTTTTTCATATCTCCTTGACTGGACCAGTGATCTGACATATGTAAACTATATTTTTCTCTCTGGTATTGTATAATTCCTTATAAACACTTTATTTAAATGATCAGAAGAAAATGTGATACTTTATCGTAAAATAACAGACATGCGAACTGACAATTTTAAAATGCATTTGAAAAACTTTAATCATGACTTAGTTGTGTCACCTTATCAAACTACATTCTGTTTAGCAGAAGTGGCCTGCAAGAAGTCATACATGACTGCCTATCTTTTAAGATACGAGTTATGGTTGTTATTTATCAATTGTAAATGAGTGTATTTTATACTTGCATTAATTTTGTCAATGACTGTTTTTATTTTTAGTTATCTAGTCAAAAAGTGCTTTCAAGAAGGTGGATTTAATTCTACATTTTCAATAATATACATTTGTTGTTTATGAAAATATGAATTAAAAAATAAATATGTGTCACTTCCATGTTGTTAGGAAAACATACAAGTTAAAAATATCAATTAAAGACTAAAGTACAAAACCTTGTAACACAAGCACTTTCGAAGGGTAGACTTTTCTTCATCAAGAGTAAACTTTGTTATTCGTTGTTTTACCTATCATCGACAAAATTCAAACCTCTTGATGCTTTTACTCCAGGTGAGTGATTCCACTCAGCCCATATTCCCAAAAATAACCATAAAGCAATTGTACTGTAACTTTTTAAATGAATACGTATCTTCACAAAATTTTGCAGATTATCAGTAAACATTACAAGGCTTTCGTACACAAAATATCAGATTTTTTTAAATATTAAGATTTTTTAATTAATGATTTGCTTGTGCATTTTTTCTTTTCAAATGTTGATTATCCAACATGCAATGTAATTTTGATTTTAAGATTAAAAATACTTTTATGTATCAGAAAATTGTCAAATTTCACAAGAAAAATCTCTATAACCTCAAGATAATTATCAAATGGTTTTTAGAAAAAAATTTATATTTTATCTCTTATTTTCACTATTTTATCTCTGTATGCATTTGGCCAATTTGACCAACCTCATAATCATCATAAAAAATTAGGAAATATATAAAGTTAGGCTTTTTTCATTCTAGAATGACTAGAAATTATATCAAATCACAAAAGTTTATTCTAAATAGCTTAAATCTCATAACATTATACACCTACATATATTTATTATTTTTATTTTATTGTCCTTTCAGTAGTGTCTGACTAGCATTACAGAAGTTGCAATGATGTGACACATGTGCACTCATGTTACTATATCCAATTGTATAAAAACTTACGAGTAAACTGGAATGGAAGTAAACTGAAAGATGGAAGACTTTTGAAACAACATCCTCTACACTTGTGTTTTTTACAACAGGCAGTTCCCATCCATTTCAGTTTACTCATCTTGATTACTCTGCCTAAACAATCTAACAAAGTATAAAACTGGCCTTTACAAAGTGCAACTGTCTTAGCAGACCAGTATTTTGTAGAATACAATCACATTTCAGTTATAATATATTACATAAGTATATATCTTATTAGTATTTAGAAATAAATTCTTAAATTTCAGTTATGTTTCTTGAAACATAGAACAGTAAATAAAGAAATACAGAAAACAATGATCTCGTCTATTTATGAAGTTTGTACTCGTTTGCTGCTTGCCATAATTTTGCTAAACCTTGTCAAATTTCACACATGGAGGATGTAAAACTAACTTTTTTAGGTTTTATATATGCATTTTGAAATAACAAGAAATCATAAGTTACTATAACAATATCACAGAATTCCACTATAATTTATCAGTCTTAGTAACTAAGCTGTAGTTGGGTCTAAAAAAATATGATATTTTGAGCTCCATTATCTCTTCTCTCTCTGCTTCAATTCTACCATGAAAAGGAAAGTTTCCTCCCTTAAACACTTTGCAAAGACTGAGAAAATCATGTGGGGGACATTCTGAGCTTTCAATGGTTATAAACATGTCATAGAATGAAGTAGGTGTATGTAAGCAAATACTTCCAAAAATGGAAGAGGTGGGTGGGGCCACCTTGGTTGACTCACTAAATATAATAATATCTCAGAAAATAGAAAAGATACGAGGTTCTTATTTTATATTCTACATTGTTAATATTGATAACTTGAGTTTCTAATTCATAAAAAACATCAATACTGCATTCAACATACCACGTGACATATAACAGTCGATATTTAGGAATTTTGTTTTAATATTTACTTTTAAATTAAGAAATTAACTAATGTAAAGTACTAAAATTTGAATTATAATCTACAATTTGATACCAAACTTATTGACATAAAAAAACTACAGCTGGAGAAAAAAGGCTAACTGCCCTTGTCCACTTTTCAAACACAAAGTACTGTAACATATGTAACAGCATTTAAAGAAACTCAGACAACAGGGTATGCACATGAACAGGCACATTCAAGGTAAGCCTGAATCTTTTAAAAAGTCATTGTCTTCTGGTGGGAATTTCACATTCATGGAAGATTAAAAGAATGAGAAGACTAAGGAGATGGTTTAGAGTAGGGGCAATAAGAAACAGCATGTGGAAAACAAATATGCTATAAACCAAAAGAAAAAAGAGTTGGAATTAAATATATGTTACCAAAAATAAAGACTGTTAAGTCACATCAAAAAACAAGTGGTTTATTGTTTGGTTTAAAAGCAATATTCACATATAATATAATGTACAAATTTTAACATACAGATTTAGAAAGTAGCTGAATAATGCACGTTGGGGACACAGGCTAAAATTACATTCATGTTGCTTCCTGTTTTATTCCAATTCACCATTGCAAAGTTTTTATTAAAATTAAGATATTCTGTATGTATTTTACTTTGATTAAACACAATAACATCCACATTTCCTACAAGGCAATTTTAGTTGGATGTGGCACTACCTTCAAAATAATGTGGCAAGGTTTGGTTTGATTTTCACGCAAAGCTACACAAGGGCTGTCTGTGCTAGCTGTCCATAATTTAGCAGTAAAAGACTAGAGGGAAGGCAGCTAGTCATCACAACCTACTACCAACTCTTGGGCTACTCTTTTACTAACAAATAGTGGGACTGACCATCACATTATAATACCCCCCATAGCTGAAAGGGCAAGCATGTTTGGTGGGACGGGGATATGAACCCATGACTCTCAGATTGCGAGACAAGCTCTCTAACCACCTGGCCATGCCAGGTCATGAAGGAAACCATTATGAGCAAATTAATGCAAAGTAGAAAATGTTCAAATGCTACTAAATTTACTAAATAATAAATGATAAAATAAAATATTCTGATATTTTTATGTTTTGTGATAAAGGGGACCCCATTTATTCCAAGTGGCTGAGTTCCTGGGACTCAAAACATTCAAGTGGTAGTGTAAAAGTCATGTTTACTGTGACTGTAGTTGGTTAAAACTTGTTCAGCAAGTTTTTAAGTTATGTTGAGTGTAAAAAAAAAGAGAAGTTTCTAACTTGTATTACTATGTTTACATTAACATCTATCATACAAGCCAGGACAACAGATAGTAGTATGGGTATGGTGATGACTAAAACCCAGTCATCATCAAAATATAAAGAAAATGCAATCACATACTTTATAATATGATTTGCATGTAAAACTACCAAAATCTAAGTATACAGTACAATTTATATGTATAGCACACAGAAAGACAGGATTATTGACCAATATTCTATTCTTCAGACCTTTCCTGCAATTTTCTAGAGCTTTTCAATTTAGACTTAATTGCAGTCACTTTTGTCTTAGCTTTTGGAAAATTTGGATAATCAATAAAGTGATTGCACTGCATTTTGAAAACCCTAAATATTCCATTGGCTTGATGTTATCTTGGTACTCAACAAATAAGCATATGATAACATCCAAATATTCCTTTGCAATTCCATTTCTTCTCTTACTTGACACATTTCCAGTCTTCCTGTATTTAGTCAAAGAAAATATTTTTTGTCCTATTTCAGCTTCAGAAGAAATTTCAAATTGATTAAGATATCTTCGAATCAGCTCCTCTCTCATTCTTCCAGGTTTCAGTTATCTTCAAGACCTCATTTATACATTTCACCAACATTGTCTATAAATCTCAAAATATACTTGTGGCCATAAATTTACCATTTGTCAGATACAGAAACCAACCAATTTTGAAAGGTTCTGTCACATATTCTGAAGTATTGTCTTGTCATTCAATAGAATCAGACACTGATGTGTTGCCATCTGCATCAAAAAGACGCTCCAATCAAGAAAGACATGATACTTGAATAAATCAGATCAAACACATATTGTATACTGCATATCACGATTTCATGCTGATTCCATGCAAACTGGCACACATGAAGGCTCTTAAACTTCTCAGATTTGAATGGTTGTGGCATACAATGCACATATTTTCATCCTCAGGCTCCTGAATGAAACAATCTAAAGAAATGATATCTCATACTGATGTTGCTTCAATTTGTGGGT